CTCATTATCCCAATCCACGAATGGCTCGGAATAAGAGGAGCCTAATTCGTACTTCCTCGCGAACTCACTTTTTATTCTTTTTTTTTCTTAGGGAGAGACACACAAAGATACATCACAATTACAATACATGATCATCACAAATCAATCGAAACGTACCACAAGTGTATAGATAACACGTTTACAACGATAATCGAACATAAGGTAAGCATGCCTCAAGACAACCAATCGAGAACAAACAAAGGACAAAACAATTCCGTTAATCCACATGCGAGTGCCAATGGCAACGAATCATCAATCAATTAAGGGAAACCGTCAAATTCATCAAGTACATAAAGCATGAATGCTAATAGTGAAACCAATCAATAATCTCGACTCGCCACTTAGCTATCTCGACTCTCGAACAAACATCAAGTTTCATGCGGGAGAGATGACACAAACACAATAAAAACAAATAAAACCGGTCTATGACACGACAAAAACGAAAAATAAGAAAGAGAACATCACCTAAACATGCATAATCACGAAAATCCCTCCCCCACACTTCAAACAAAGCAATGTCCCCATTGCTTGACCCAAAAAGTATAGGAGAAGGCACATAATCACGGACGTTCATGCGATAAAAACGAAAACGAAATACAAAAATAAAGAAACTAGACGAACTAACACAAAGACACACAATAAACAAACAAAGAAAGAGAAAATAGGAAAAAAAATGCGTACTCGACACGGTGGTCATCACCACCGTGTGTCCAATAGTGGTCGTCCGGAGGTAATAAAGGAGGTCAACCGAAAGCCATTGAGCGCGAAATGGAACCATCCGAACGGTTTAACATTTAAGCACTTGAAACGAGAGAGGCTATGTGTGTGTGTCTCGGAGAGATAGTAACCATGAATGCATAAACTCGACGTAGACACACGTTCACGTGAAAGCGCGAAAATCGGGCCTCGAAGTCCTTGTCGATCCCCGCCATGGTCCGACACAACGAACTCCATTGTATGCAACGCATAGACGATTACCGGTGCTTGCCGTAAGTAGGTACCTACAACTCAAACTCCCGGCAAAAACACACGTATATGTGGCACGCCCGGCAAGACGTGCCTAAACACACAAGTCTAACCCAAAAATCGCAATACGACTACTCCGGCAAGAATAGTGATCCAAGCACAACGCATATATAATGAAGGAACGAAAATACAAATCGAAATCGAGACGGTGGACTTGGAAAATTTTTCGAGAAAAACGGTCGCCGGAGTTCGAAAATAGAGAAATATAGGAAATAGGAGATCCGGTCGCTG